ACACACACACACACACACAAATAGCAGCAGAAATAGGCATTTGGGAGGCATTTGTTTTTTAGAAGGGGAAAGGTGGCTGAACAAATAGTTGTTAGCATGTGCCCAATTTGTTAGCCAACCCAGCTTCGTTTAGAAGATTTAATATTGTACTCCAATACCTAATCTCCTACACAGACATTCTTAGGGTCCGTTTCCCTTCCCACAAACATCTGCTTACTTGAGCAAAATAATTCTTTCCCATTGTTGTCATAGACCTATCGAAATTTTCTTCTTCTGGTTTGTCAAGCAGCGTTTGTCGAGGAGCCAATCAAAACTTCAAAAGAAATTTCACTTTAACACCAAAAAATGCTGCATGCATGACGGTGTCGTAACCATAGCCAAAGCAGTGATAATTAACGGCAGAAAACATGGCCTTGGTATTGATAATTTATATCATGCCAAAAAAATTTACTAATTGTTTCATTATACAATTTGTAAACTAAGGATAAAGATTGAATTCTGCTTTCCAAGAAATACCAAATGCATTTCAATCTCTGTGTGATCTTGAATGAACTCGACATGATGCAGGAAAAACTTACAGATATTGCATTTACTATGTGGAATTCACAAGTTATCATGGATTGGCTGAGGGCTCTCAGCCAATGAGAAGCAATTGTGAGTAAAATGTATAATAATTTTTGATATCATGCTCTATCTCATCCAATAACTGTTTAATGTAATAGCTATTCCAGAAATATCATTAAAAATGCAGATCACCTTTTTATTTTGGAGTAAAGTTAATGTTTTTTAAACATTGATTGTTGCCCTAACAACAATTAAAAAAACCCAGTTTTTTAAAGTAGGTTTTTGAAAATATTTCTAGATGTGAATGTAGAATTTTTTGAAAATCAAGTATGTGATAGCTAACTGTTTTTTTTGTTGAGCTAATGAAATAAAAAACATCAAACAGGTTTGTTTTCATGCTACACTTTGCAAAATTACAAAACAAAAAGTGGTTTGACACTAATTTGGGAAACTTTTTCACTCACACCCACTACCTCTAGTTTAAATTTTAAATATGCTCAACTCACATTCTGATTTTTACMGAGGGAGGAAACCGGAGAACCAAGAGAAAACCCTTGTAGCATAGGAGAGAACAACACATCAAACAAACTCGATCCACGTTGTGACCACAGGGCTCGAACCAGCGATTCGACCCTTTGGACTTGCAGCAGTAAAAGACGATGTGTTAGCAAAATATGCTTCCCATGCTTCCCAATGTCCAATGGAGGACTAAGGCAAGTTTCAAGATAGCCGCTAAATCATAGTCCTACAAACCATATCAGACAAATTGTGTTGGTCTTTCTTAGTGTAGCAAGTTGTATTGTATTCTGAAAATAACTAGGGTTTTTGTATTGTATTGTTTAGCTCCAAACTCATTGCTCCTGGCTATTGTTTTATTGTCTTCAAGTGCCTTGCAACACCAATTTAACCACTAACTAATGACTAAAAGGTATCATTTCAATATTCTATCAGAGTCTGAATATTTTCAAAGTGCAAAGTATAGAACTACCTACGTTCTCTAGGAATAGATAACTAGCTAAAAACTATGTTCTCTAGCAAGAGTTACGCACGTAAAGAGAGTAAAACCAAGAAAATTAGCTTATCAGTTTAGTTAAGAAAATTGGAAATTCTTTGAAAAGATAGTAGTTTTAACAAAAATATTCCCAAGACGATGTAATAAAGATTCTTAAAAGCTTTTCAAAGTTAAAAAAGCAGTTTCGAAGTGGAGTGACTAAAGGCACGTACCACAAGATGCATTAGCTAGTTCGACAAAAATACAGCAAATATATAAGCGGATAAAAGCTACAGAGACGCGAAAGTACTAAAACTCAATATTTGAAGGGTAATTTTAAGGTTATAAAGGTTTATAAGGACAGAAAGAAAGTGTCCGTTTGAAAACGAGTCAAGTTTATGTCTATACACAAACAGAATCCATGTGCAGCAATTACTCGCTAATTAAACGCCAAAAAAAGAGCAAATATCAGGGGGAAGACCTAAAGAGAAGCAAAAGCATAAAATTCATCATTTGAATGGTTCCTTAAAGGTTCTGAAAGTTTCTTACCGTTTAAATAACGATATTTCTGTCTCTCTCCACACCTTGAATAGTAATCGACCGCATAGAATTAGAATGTAATGAGAGGGTTGGTATCGAGCTCGTGCGTTCGTTTGTTCGTTCGTTCGTTCGCTCGTGGCCATAAGAAAGGGGAAGGGAAGAGATCAGCCATTAGGTACCCGAAGGCATCATGAAGCTTGATGACGCTAGCAATCGGTATCCGCACGAAGAACTGTGTGGAGGCGCACTCCTGGTAGTCACTAGGGGGGTTTGGGTGATCGGTAGGTGAGTTTTGGGTGAAGAAAAGAGCATTTTAGTGTTGGTGTTACCAGTGTAGTGTCGAACCTAGTGGCTTGATCGGTGTTTGGGCACATTTTGTATGTTGTTGGGTTAAGTTCCCGTATGGAGTTTGGCAGACGCGTTGGCGGCAGCGTGGAGAAGTGGTCTTTAGAGAAGGGGTTGTTTGGAAGCCAATTGAGTGTGGTCGGTGCGTGGAATTAGTGTCTAGACAGATCTGAAGAGGCGACTTTTTAATGTTTTTTTTTGGTAAGGAAAGCGTTTTCGTATATTTGTTGGTGAAAAGGATCAATGTTTCTGGAATTGTCTGTGATGAGAAAAATGTTCTTGACTTTGTGGGTGCAATTTTTTGTACTTTCTGTTGAGCTTTGGAGGCGGCTATTTTGTTCACTGAAATAG